ACTTGTGGAGTGATAAGTCCATACTATTAATATATCAACAAGCTTTTATGTACACATAAGAAGATGACATTCAATTGACCATGAATGGACAGATCAGACCATTTCAGTGTTTCCTTTAAGATCAATCTTATCTACCCATCAACTCATCACGACTTGTACACACGCTGACACACACAGGTACAGGTGCAAATGAAAGCGAAACAGCAATAAAGACACTGATTTTTTTTAAGTCCTTAATAAGGACCGAAGACAAACTAAACATTTAGCATTTAAAAGTTTTAATAATCTCTCATATAACTAGGATTCAGGACTGGAGGAGTGAGCTACAATTTTCAAGAAGGGAATTTTAAGGAACAAAATGTGTGAAATTACAGTCATTAAACTTGTTAATGACAGACAACATGCCTTGTGTATCTAAATGAAATTGCAGCACTTCTTCTTTAAATAATGTTGGTCCACATGGTATTACATTGCGATATATGATATTTATAAAACAAAAAAAGAGATGAGATTTACCCAAAATAAACCATAGCCAAATAGAGCTTGTTATTATCTACCAATAAAGGTTGTCAAGTTTGTGGTGTTGCCACTAGTGTCAACAGACACAGAGCAGTCAGGACAAATGCTAAAGTAGTATGATCGTGTAGCAATAGAATACAGATTTTACACATTTTCACGTTCCAAAAACAATGACCCAGGGGATTTACCCATTTCAGTTTCTATGGGGATATTATGGCAAAAAAACTATATGCACTCCAAGTAATTTATATTTTTCTGATACTAGTATCGACACAATCAAAAATATCATTAAAGCTCTTAGCAACTTAAAATATATGCTGGATTTTAGTGTTGCTGTGCTTTTAATTATTTGGCCTTCAGTTTGTTGGTTAAATACATCACACTCTGATGGCATTGTGGTTTGTCACACACTAGTTTATAAATACATTTATAATAAGTTCTAGGGACATGCAAGGGTAACATATATGCTAAATGCCTTGTCAGATTATCTGTCCAGTTAAAGTGCATTTTATCTTACTAAGCATTTGCAGCTTTCCTCCAATTTCTTCCATTCTTAAACATTTTATATTACACTTAATTTGGAGTAACAAACAGCTCACTTTTTATGTAGACGCAATATTTTGCATCTTCATAAAAAAATAATAATAATAAAATCCTATGCCACATTGTACTTTTCACACAATTGCACATAAGTGAGTTCCCATCAACAAGATATTATAAGGGCCAATTTAAAAGTTACGCAGGTGCCATCATTAAAATGAGGCAGCCTATTTGTGTTATGATGAGTATTTTTACGTGAAGAGACATTTTCAGTTTAACTAAAGCTGAAAACTAGAAACTCGCAATTCCACTAATTTCATTGGCAACAATTTCGGTAGTGACTTCAGTCTACTAAATGATTCACCCTAATCTGATCATTTCTAGTATTTGATGAATGAGATCCACTAAAAACTATTCTGAAACTGGCACAAGAATAAAAGCACAATGGTTGACAAAGCTGAGTGCACATTTTTTCTGCCATGTACAGACATAGAGGATGGTAATTAGCAAGTAACTGCAAACACTTCACACTAATCCCACAACATCCTGATAACTTTATCTGATTTTACCGTATATATGGGTAGTATAGGTTACATCAGTACTCTGTTTGCAAGAGGGACTTCGGCTCCTTCTGATGTTTAATTAATGGTCCTTCATTTCACATAATTGCTTCAAACAAAAGTTGAATCATGCCTGGCAAGGTTAGACCTTACCACACAAATCACATAGTGCAGATAGTTCTTAACACAGAGAGTATTAAATCATATAGACTTAACTTGATGAGTCCCTTGCTGGACATATCTAATGCAAGACTAAGATAAAATGGAACACAGACACTTATTTCACTTTTGCTGTAAGCTGCTGTTCCAAGAACACATTTTAAAAACTGCCTTGCTTCTTCCGCACCTCTTGCAGTATACTAGAACATAGCTTTTTTTAAAATTAAAAAATGCCTGTCTATTGTGGTTCCTAGTATGGAGCAGGATTCAACCAAGAGGCACAAGACAACATTCAGAATGTTTGAGAGTATTTTATGTTTATAACTAATAAACTTTTATCCAATGTGACATACTTTTGAGAGACCATGGTTCAGAGGCGACAGAAGCATTTTCAATGCGGGGAGGGACGCACTGGCATAAAACTAATATTTTATGTTAAATGTGGGGGGAGGTCCAAACAAATAATTATGAAATGTGAGGGAGACACGTCCCCCTCAGATTTAATGCCCATGCCATGGTAATATTTATGAAAATGTCCAAGACATTGCTTGCTTTTTCCACTGCTGGCCTTTGTTCATATAGTTTGCCAAACCCAAGCAAGATATGACCTTGAATATATTGTATCCTTAAATTATACTAAGAAACACAAATATTCCGTCTTTGAGGAAAGAGGTTTATTTAACACAAATGGGTTGATTGACCAAAATTCTGTTGCTTCACACAATGCGAGAACCGTTTCAATGACTGCTCTGGTTTTTGTTGGCACTGAGTGAAATCACTCAGCCAATCACAGGCTTTCAATAGGTGATGACAATTTCAGGCACAGAGACCTAACCTGCAGTCACACACTGCCCCGTATATAGACAAGATAATATACAAATTATTGTTGGCTAGGCAGGTAGCCAGCTATGTCACAAAAGACAGGGGTTAAAAGCTACATTAAGGCAATGTTATATAAAAATTGGCTACTGCCATACAACACAATTACAGATTACCAAGAAATACACAAAAATACACCCACCCATTGTGGAAAACATTATTAATGTGTTAAATAGCTACATACCCTTTGAACTACAACTGAATTATAACCAGCTACAATTAAAAAAAACTCTTCAGAATGAATTTATTCATTTTTAATAAACAGCAGGTGGTCAATTCAACTGAAATGAGTGGAATCTCAATTGGACTAAACGATTTTGGGGTGTGTGTAAGGGAATTAGATAAGTGGATGACCTTTGTCTATATAAGAAAATAACTTAAAATGTAATGCATGATAATTTTATTACTATAGAAATACATGACTTTGACACAGATACCCTTTCCTGAAAAGGGAAAAAAACATCACTTCAACATTAAATTTAATAAAAATGTATACTACTATGGCAAGGTGGTTGGTGTGTTAGACTGTACATAAAATATCACGATAACTAATCCCTAGCTTACTTAACTTGAATTAAAATGATACCCTTTTATCGGGCAAATTGTAGAAACTAGTAGATAGGGTCTACATCCTGGACAAAACTTCACTAAATGTACAAACTGTAAGTTACATAAAGGACAGAAAGTTAAGTACGCACAGACAGTTAGGTAATTCTTACATCATTTACTTAGTTGCTTACACCACTTATTTAGATTAGCTAGCTTCTTATATACCTTCTACGATTTTGATTATAGGGGTCGGTTGTTATACTCATCCTTACAGCGCTTCCATAAGAAAGTGACTCCCATGAGCCTCAGCGGCTGTTCTGTTTGACTACAGGTAATTGTGATCTTTATGGTTGGTGAGAGTTCAATTTGCCAATGGCTGTTCATGTGTGTCATTTTATATAGTTGTTTTTTTTTTACATAATAGTATTTTTGTTTGTGGTGTGTTTGAATGTGCCACCGTCTGTTCAGTTTATCAGTTATCCCAGTACTCGCTTCTCTGTCTAGAAGAGCAACACACATTTTGATACTAGATATGACTTGTCTAGTGTTGGTAAAGTTCACCTGTGGATAGCATGAAGGCTATGGAGGTTACAGGAAGACCAACAAACGTGAGAAGCTATCTTAAACGTCCGCAGCATACTAAATTTAAAAATGGCCAGCAGGTCTCTTTATAAATGAAGCAGAATGGATATGAATGGGTAAAAGTTACTTCTGTTTCAGATCCATTTATGTCAGTTTAATTTGACCTAGCTGTATGGCCAATAATTTAAACTGCATATAAATAAAGCATATGACATCTACGGGAAAAAAGCCCAAATGTGACGAAAAGTCTCCGATCGCTCGCACATATTAACTGTAAAAAACTTTATCCTGTATTATTGAGAATACAGATGTCTACACAACAGACAGCAACATAACCAAATATTAAACGAGATGCCTGCTTCCCAACCGCGTCTCAGTAACGGATTTCCTGGTTTTACAGCTAAGTATATACCCTTATCAACATTCACAGCAGTAACGGGAAGCATTCGTTTTTAGTATAAGCGTTTGTCAAAACACCAGTGTTAAGCTAAAAGCAGCACTTCAACGTGTGCAAGGCTGAAATAATGTGATATCTCAGAGCTTTTGTATATGTACACATTATGTTAAAACTTTAGACACGCTTGGGACGCGAAAGCAAATGCAAAATGGTTCCTTGTAGACCATTTATTTGAAGAAATATGCAGACAGACAGAATTATAAGCACACGCGTTAGAGGTACAGTACGGATAAGTATCCGTCCCCGGAGAGTTGTGTCCTGCTTAGACTTGCACCTGACTTGCCGCACCATGGCAAGTGACTCTAGACGTTTATATCCGTCTGCACCAAAATGATTCTCCGTCACATGCAGAAACTGTCACACTCAACATTAATAAATGCATCAGGTGCACTTCCAACTTAATGTATTATGTTAAAAACCCACCCCAAAAAAACAATTCTGTAATGTCGGTTTCACAGACACCTGTATTCCCCTCATTTGCATTTCGAAAATATGAATGACACAAGTTTCGTCCATTTATATTATGAGTTTGCCTCCAACCTAGACTAAATTCTATCATTTAAAGAGAGAGTTAAGTGGAAAGTTGAAACTTGAAAGTCCATTATTAAAATAGCTAAAAATATGATCAAATATTTAATTTTAATCTACGTACCTTTGTACGAATGCATTCAACGTAATAAATTTATATGAAAAAACGATTGCAGAAATTGAGTTCTCGTGTTTTTCTGTAAAGAAGTAAGCAAATATATAGTTACCTTGTTTCAGTTTAATTTCCATGCTATTTGTATTCAACAACTTCCCTCTGCTGGACAGCAATGTCTCACTGCTACGGTCCTATAAACAGATATTAATCCGCCATAAAACATAGTGCCAGTAAGTCCCAGCTCCAAAAAAGAAAGAAAAAAGTGGCTGCAATACAAAAACTTTGTAGTTAATAGTCAAGTTAGTTTTCAGTAAAGTGGGACTACAGAAATATGAACTTGAGTTTTTATATTGACGAGTAGAGATAAAATTGTAGTCTATTTTTGTCTAAAATGAAAATGTGGATCCTTCCGCTTATACCTAAAATTAAGCAAAAGGAAGTTACATAAAATTTGTTTTTATAGTCACGGCTGAACGTTTATAAATTTAAATTTTCTTCATGGATTGCTGCCCTTTCTGGAATCTATAGATTAAAATACAACTCATTTATATCTTACACTATACCTTCACCCGCTTGTCTTACCTATATATGCATTACATTTTTCCTGCATTAGATACGAGTTCACACCGGAGACTCACGTCCACTCCTTTCGATTTTGTTCTTTTTCTAAATCCCTATTATATCTCTCATATTTATACTGCCTGCAAGAGATTTTTTTTCATATATCTTTGGCTTAAATAGTATTTAAAACTCGTCAGCATGATAACCCTTCTTTCCGGATGTGAGTGATTTGTCTTTTAAGCATACCCAGTAACAAGCTTTTCCTGCTGGGTATTGGCTTCATTCATGCACCTCCAAGTATCGGAAGCACTATCAGTTTCAAGGAATATATTTATTGTATGGTAATATGGGCGATAATTCAGGTCCACAACCTATCGCTTCTCACAACGTTAATTAATTTCGCACACAGCAGACGCATTGACCTTTTTTTCCTCCACAAAAATGATCCTTACTACTCCAAAGCTTCTAAAACGTGGGTCATTAAAATGGGAAGTGAGTTGCCACATGCTTTTCTCAATGCACAGAAAAAGCTGACATTATTCTTGACCTCGTATAGCCTATTAATGAAACTGAAGGATTGGGGAATAGGTAATACTGAAATACAATTCGTTGGTTGGTGTGGTAAATATGTGCCAAAAATTTTAATGTATTGTTGGAAATTTAAGCCGAACATGTGTAACGTAAGGGTTGTAATTATATTTAATTATTTGATGACAGTAGCCGTCTGCATACATACAGTATTGCGCAAGCATTAAACAGCCCAAGTAAATTGCTTTATTGACTCATACGTTTACAGAACTGCAATGGGCTAGGGTGCAATCTATAGCGCGACAAGACTACCCTGGAATCTTAGCACCCTTATGGGCAAAAGCTGTCAAGGCTAAGCCGGAAGTTGCAGTGGGTGTGCCATTCACCAGCGTGCGTAACACGCGTGGGTCTTTCCGTATGGCTAAATGTGTCAACGCCTGGTGGGCGGACTCCTTGGCAAGTATAAGCGCAACGCAAGTCACTTAACTTACGGTTGGTGACATTAGTTTTACAAACGTTGCGTATTAATATGAATTGTTTCGGGATCTGACCCTTATTTAACCAATCGACTGTTATGGGAGATGGTCAGATCTATTCAGTAGTGTCCTATGTAACCTACCTGTTTTGACAGCATAAAAATATGACATTTTAAAAATATAACAGCCAGAGAGCTTGATTTTGATCATCTCCACGTCAGTCCTTGAGTAGTAAGGGTAATTTTTGTGGACAAAACAACAGTCAAAGCATCTAGTGTGTGCGAAATGAATGGACGTTGTGACAAACAATTTTGACCATGTACACCTCCGTCTTTTATACTTTATACTTTATACTTGAACTACACGGTTTTTCCCTTATTTTGCACATCTGTACATTGGCATTGGACTATCCTGGAAGGCTTTTGATGCACTGTTTGAGTGCCCTATGATAAAATTTGAGAAGAATAGTTTTCCAAAATAACTTGTGGTAAAACTATCTAAACAACATTCAGTAACTCCCCCCCGCAATTTAATGTGGCAATTCGGTGAATATTGTAAATATACCTTGCGCTGCTTCACGAAATACATCTGAAATAAATGGGAAATTATTGCTGTAGATGGGGCGGGAGGGGGGTGTAATCTGTACATTGTATAGTTTAGCTGGGTAAAGCCCACAACATAATAAGTTCAAAATTAATCTTTAAAGTAAATTCAGCAGGTGGGAGTGGGAGCTTTTCTTCCTCATTACTACAGCCTGAACCAGAAACATCCGGCAAATTAGCATACAATTAGTAATCTTGCAGCAATAAAATTACACTATATATATATATCTCACTCTTGTATTGAATAAACCATTAAGTTGCCTCCATTTTTGTTTCTGCCATTCAGGTCTGACGCTAGAGGTCGCCACACACCACCACAAAAGATGCACCTAGAAAAGTGTCTTTATTCTGTTAATTTAGACGGAGAAATTCTGGACCCCATGACAAATTGCCACCCCCACCCCACTCAATTTTGTGTATTCAAATGTCCCTGTAAAGTGCTGGGCCCCCGAAATCTGCCAGGGTGTCTATGCCCCTATTGCGCCCTTGTTCACATTTAAAACCACACGACCAAAATGAACCTTTAAGGAGTCAGCATGACAGGGTAGTAAATATTTGCATATATATTTTACATATTTAGCAGACACGTTTGTTGAAGGCGATATACAACTGAGACACATAGCACTTTGCAAACATTCATGCTGTCAAGGAAACATAGCTGCAGCTAGACTGAGCTTTCAGTGAATGCCCAGGTAGAAGTGTAAATACATGGACTGTGATAAACCAATCATCCAGACACCCCATGAAGTCCAACTAACTTGATAGTAACTAAATAGGGAATCCTGCAACAATTCGGTGTCACTGAGTCACTCATTTAAAACATACAACCTTTTGTGTTCCTCCCTCCCACAGACACAGTCAGTATAATACTGCTGATACCCATTCCTGTTCCTCATACAGACCTTTAAATTGTCTTTGAAACTTAGGACAGTGGTCTCTTTTCCTAACCTTGGTTTCCACACCAGCCCCCCTCTGAATCATACTGGTGGTTTGCCTGAAAGTCAAACATAGCCTTCTGTTGAGAAAAGGTCATCCCTTGCTGCCGCTATACTGTCACTGTCACAGTTTACTGACCACCGGTGCGGCCATTTAGTCATTAACAACAGAAAACATTTCTCTGTGGCAGAAGCCCTGTACCACATCTACTGGGAGATGAACAATGAATCTCTATTTGACAGCACTGACAAGGCCATAGATTTGGTTATGGACAGTAGGTACAGGTCCCTACCAGTATTTATGGGAGTACCATGTGTATTTAGGTGGGTAGAGTGTTTGGGGCTCATTTGGACCCTATTAGTGTTGAAACCAAATCTAGGCCCTTGATCTTAATTCACTCTACCAAGCTATTAGGTTCTGGAAGATTTGAAGATGCCTGTGATTTATGAATATTCAACTACAGGGACACCAAAACTCAAAATTTCTACCCTTATCTAGGGGGATGCTACATGTCACTCCAAAACAACTTATCCACTCTTACACCAGAGCTCAAATTGTGCCTTCTTATGTATTGAAAAATCAGGCTTCAGTCCATGTGTAAAGGTAATCACCAGTCACCCAAATATGCTTGTTTTCTGTCTGAATTTCAAATAAAAGACCAAGAAAGTCACCAGCAACACACTCCTGGGGCCCTAAATGTGCACAGGGAGGTGGTCCCATGGTCTTACAAGAGGCACAGGCATGAGAAAACTGCATGGAATTGCTGTGCAACATAGTCAGCACAGAATGGACCATTGTTCTTGGGAGTACCATCTGAACTGCAGGTGGGACAATTACTAAGCTCTGGAAATCGAATCTGCTCATCTGTTATCAAGGTCAGCAATTTACTCCTAAATTTCAGTTTTTTCAGTTTATGGGCGCCCCCTGCAGACTGCTGGAAACCCCATTGAACTCATACCAATTTTGAATCAATATCATTACAATGCGATATCCAATTACTATTCTCCCTCATCTGTCTGCCAACTATATTAGCCTATAGGAAGTTGCTGGGCCATAAATTTGAGAGCAAACAGGGGAGAACATGTTGCTGGACTGTTAACAATATTGACTTATAAATCCAAAATCTGTCTGACAATTACACTGAACCACAAACAGCTGTAAATTACTTGTATTCAATAATTGAAAATAAGTGTGAACGCGTGGCATGGAGGTGAATATTTAAATAAATATCAACTGGACATTCTCATCACCTGATCTTACCGGACAACCTGTGGTGATTCTAGAGAGCTAGAACAAGCAGTTTCATTAGAGAGGTCCCAAAACAGCATTGCTGAGCTATTGTTTCTTCTTAAGAATGGCCAATCTCACCCTTCCATTGTACTTTAGCGTAGTCGGTCCTTATAGAGACATCTGACTCCCATGTCGGGGTTGGAGTTGGGGCTCCCTGTCATCATGACCATTATTCTTGGGTCTGTTCAGGCCACCTCAGCTGCATCCCTGAAAGTTAGCAGCCAGTGTAACAGTGCATGAGCCCTGGCCATCTGTTTACTAGACAATGAGTAATCTAATACTGCATGGATGCTACATAACTGCTTCACCCACTAGGATTACTGTCCCTCCAACCCTTGAAGAGTTATCCATCTACCAGGAGCATCACTAGAGATTTATGAAATGGGGCCTTTATTACTGGGATCTGATTTTAATGAAAATGATCACGAGCACAGTGTTTAAACCATTTAGTGTACATTTATTTGGTGGGGGGAATAAAGAGCATTTTAGAACCTTTGAAGAACTTTACTCACCCTAAAACACCAGGGACACCCCTGGCAACCAGGGCAGTGAGTGGTAACCATGTGTAAAATATTTCCCCAAAAAAGTATTTAAATAATTACTTGTTCTACTCGTGATGTTCACCTTCACAGATCTGCAGACCCTCTGAGCTGAGTGAGGTTTCAGTCTATTTATATACATATACATATAAGTATAGATAGAGATATAGGTATAGTGCCTTTCTACACTTATATGTATATATATAGACTGAAGCCTCACTCAGCTTAAATATTTAAGTTATAAAAGACAAATAGAGATGATGTGAAACAACTGACAGACGTGCTGGAACAATAATTTATCTCTCAATGTTGGCAAAACAAAGCAGATGATTGTCGATTGTCATTTTCTCTGTCTTTTGTACATTGCTGAGATGACACTAAAGCTCTGTTTGACTTGACTTCAAAGGAAGTCTCCAAATTGTCCCTTCTGAGAGATGGTCAAAATCAAAAACAGGTCAAAGAAGGATCAGCTTCTCAAAAGTGGCACAGCTTGCTTTTCACAAATCAAATCTGTCATAATTGGCATTGTGCTACTTTTGCATCTGTTCTGCTTGTGATACCAGTTGTGTTGCATGCATAAAAAATCTCTGTCTATATTTATTGATATAATAAAATAATGTTTATTTGGTAAATGTAGCATAGGACTCCATTAAACAATTAAAGTGGAATTGCTGTTGCTATTTCAGTGGAACGAGATTGACCAAAGAGCTGTTTGGGACCTGAAAGTATCGGTTCTTGTTAATGAGTTGAGCCAAATGCCTTAACTCACTGAGTACACCTGTAACGCTATCAGTAATACTGTACATGCCTGGATTTTGAACACAAACCATTTACTGTTGTAGAGAGCACTGTTATACCCCCATTGTAAACGTAAATTTCCCAACTTGCATTATCGCAAAATAAATCTGGAATTCAATAAACTAGTAAGAAATAATTTCACTGCTTCCTTACCTAAACCTCCTCCAAGTTACAGTGCTTTATTAATCGGTATAAGCTGTACTGAATTCGAGAAGCAGCATTTGGCTTTTCCATGTGTTACATGTTATGTTTGGTCAAAGACAACTAAAGAAACCATCTTTCAGAAGACAAAATTTATATTTAAAAATTAAATTCAAGTACACCATCCCATATATTGGTATACCAATTAATTATACTAATACATTTTATATATGCATTTTTTAAGATGAAGGCAGGTGATTCAAAGGACAGGCCTTTGGATTGTCCATGTCATTCTTTTATTTTCAACATTCCAATAGGCCTTGGGCATTAAAGATTGCTTTCCAGAAAACTGAGTTCATTTTGTTAGTTTAATGAAAGAGCTGTCATTAAATCTTAGTCTTGATTTCTTCTGTCTTTTAAGGTGAAAATCATTCCATAACCGTTTCAGAGGTAACGTTTCCTATAGTGTTGAAATTTAGCATTATTTTAGGCTACAGTGATGCTGTATTGTTGTAATAACTTTTTGGCTGTTTAGTAATGCTTACAGAGCCACTTAAACGAAGCACTGTTGGGAAACGTATTCTGTAGCAAAGATTTCAAGGGTGTTCAATCATTATGTCTATTTAATTACACAAACCTTGCACAATAAGGAAGTACTGAAAAAGAAAAAAAAAGTAATGGGCGTGACCTAAAGGTCTTAACTCCTTTTCCCTGATTCAAGTCAGACCGAAGGAGAAAACGTAACGGATTTAAATATAATTTTCAGGTGTTACCATCTGACGGACGGAATTAAAATCATCCAGGTCTAAAAAAGGTTAGTGGCAGAAAGTAGAATAATTCATTACGTTGATATGATGTAGAAGTTCTGCATTTGCGTACCTGTATTGTACAAATGAGTGAGATAGTCTGTTACGTTACACTAGGCTTCATCAAACACCGTTTATAAATCTTGGTTCTAAAATATGTGAAAAATATTAACAAATTAGCACTAATGTCTATCAGATGTCGAAAAATGATGTTTGAATCTTCTTTGCGTTGAATCAACCGGTTCTGGTGGAACATTCCCAGTTTTAGTATCGCCTGAGGTAGCTTTTGGAGGTGTGCAAACTGTGCATTGTACAGTATATGGGGTTGAGATGAGCCAAAGGAAAGGCAAACGCTGTCAGTACAGTATAGTAAATTGTGAGCGCGGCAGGTAACCAGTATTAGTTCCAGTGACATTCTCATCATTCTGCTGCAATGACTACAGTTAGTAGATAATGTGTGAGTCAAAAGTTAAACATGTTTTGAAATGTTTCTCTATAGTCCATTAGTTATCTTGGAATATTTTAATTTACTATACAGTATAAATGTTTTTAATTTGGGCATGATTGAGAAAAGTGACGTGTTTTTCTCGCATATGAATTTCCACAAGTGTTTTGACGCAGATACACTTTTAATTGTGGGCATTTTTGCGTTTTAATTTTCTGCTTGTCAAAGTATTTTTGCCTGGCGTCCCTTCCAGCATGTACCCCAGCCTTGTGCCCTGTCCTGTCTTAGACAGACCCCAGCCACCCTGCAACCCTGCTTAGAATAAGTGGGTAATGGATGGATGTAAAACGTTTTTGGAATTAGCTGTTTCTCGTTTTATAAAGCTAAGAGATTGTAACACCCATCTGTCCCAATTCGGAACTACTGTTTTCAGCTACCAAATACAGGTCTTATCACTATCAATTTTGCTAATTTACTACAAACAACAACTAGTTATAACTTTGCACTGTGTGCATATGAGAAAATTAATGAAATGGTTTCTTATGTGCTTTCTGCAGAATCTGTGGAATAAATGTAATAAAAATCAGGGTCCCTTTGCATCAACGGCAGACATAAACATGCTGCATATTGACTTATAGGCTACATGCAAGTTTATAGCAGCCGATTGCACATAGGTGTTTAACTAGTGTGTGATAATTAATTTAGTTTAACAGATCATTAGTGATCTTATGGCTCTTAAGCCAAGTGTGTGAGTGTTTCAGTTCTTGTCATTTTACCCTGCATAATTGTTCAGGTGAGGGAAAGCCCTTTACCATAGTTCACCACCTGATGCATCGGAGATGTATTTGTGGCTGACATGCTATTTGAGTTTGTCCACAGCTAGTGCTTGACCTAGTTTTTATAAGCTTCCAACTAAGAAACAGAACCACAGAGACAGGAAAAGCTGACTTTTGTGATACGTGTTCTTGTATTTACTTTTTTTTTTTAAATTCATACAAGTGAAGATCAGAGTGCAGGGTCTGCCAGTCCTTGGTGCAACTGGGGTTAAGCTCCTTGCTGAAGGGCTCAATCCAGCTATGGGATTTGAACCAGCAACCTTCTGATCACAGGCCCACAGTTTTAACCTGTAGAACTAGATATGGCCCCTTTGTTGTTTATGTTAAAAAATATTGAGCTGTGGTAGCTTAATAATAATACATTTAATTTATATAGTGCTTTTCATGGAACGCAAACATGCTAGGCGAAAACAGAGCATGGCAAAACAGAAACCGATCATCACTGTGAGCAAATTGTGGAGAACAATACAGTTATGAGTATTGGTAACTGTATAAATGGGAGTGTATAAAATGTAGCAAAACGAATGAGAAGAGCACGGAGGGATCAAAATAAAGAGGAGTGAAGGGATCTTATAGCCTATAAAGCTTAATTGTAGCTCTGAGCTTTTTTACAGCCAGATTTCAGTCTATTATGATTGGGATTTTATGGGCAAGGTTTCTGACTAGCTGGCTTTAAACAGAAACTAACAGAAAGTCGATAGTATCATTTGTTGTTCTTTACATTCATGCTCGTGGGATTAGATAGCTGGAAAGCATATTGCTGTCTGTATTTATGAATACATAGGTCTATATTATAGACTTGTTTATCTTTAAAGCAGCTTAGATTACTAAGGCCATACATACGTGTTTATAGAACAAACAAAACATACAGTAGTATAAAGCTGAAATGGTTCTACAAAAGGGGTGGCATGGTAGCACTGTGGTTAGCATGTGTTTGAAGTTTGGCTCCATGACTGTGGAGTTTGTATGTCCCCCTGTGTTGTTCTTTTTGTGGGATTTCCTCTAGGTACTTTGCCCCCACAGTCCAAAAATATGTGTATATGAATTGGAGTTACCAAATTGCCCATAGGGTTGTTCCCTGCCTTGTACCCATAGGCTCCAGACCCCCTCAATCCTGCATAGGACAAGTGGTTACAGAAAATTAATCCGTTCCGGACTCTGGATCGAATCCTAAAAAATTTGAGTTCTGATCGAATTTTTCCCATAAGAAATAATGGAAAACCAATTAATTGGTTCCCGGCCCCCCAAAATTACACCTAAATATGTTTTTTTATTTTTTATTTTTAGCATTTAAACACAAAATGAACAGGATAAAACAAGAAGAGCATTTTTTTCTTAATGGCTTCCATTACGATAAAGATCTTATCCCAACATTACCCCTGTCCTGCCCCGATCGTCCGCTCCTTCCGTGTGCCACGCCCACTCATTAACCTCGTGTGGGATCCCCATGTGATCAGCTGTTTCTGGTTGTTGTCATTAGTCCTCTGTATTAAGTCCGCGTTTCAGTTTGATTCCCCAGTCCGGTCATTGGGTGCGTTCACGGTTCGACTTCTGATATTCAGATTGAGTTCTAGGTCAAACTGGTTTGTTCGACTTTCAAGAAATTCGAGTTCTAGTGAGTTCGATAACCGATGTACCACAGTATGTTTTAGGAATTAGACTATAATATGGTACTGATTGTCAAATAAAGTAACCTTTAAATATAGTGTTTTTTTTAAACAAACATCACTGAATAATCTGGCAAAAAGATTTTATATTTTATATACGAATTTGTATGTATTTATGTTTGTTGGTCAGCGCTTAGATTAGGGGTAGATGGACTCACCTTCATGCCTGTGTGTACACAGATGAATTGGCACTCAAGGAACAATTCTTGTCTCTGTTTATACTTGGGGTCCTTGACCAATCTAAAAGTATTACTACGGTAAAAAAATACATTGGTTTACAAAATATGGTATTTCACAGACACTCCGGCTTTTGCAGAAATACAATATTTAAAAGAAATTCATACAGCACATGGAGAACGTGTGAACTCACCATGACAAATACCTCCAACCCTGGAGATGTGAGGTCAGTTTGGCACAGTATCATTTTTGTTGTGGCTAATGATAATAAAGGTCATGATGAAGATGAAAATAATAATAATCCACATCATGGTCTCAGTCATATCATCAGGAAACAACAAGACCTGATAACTACAGACAAACCAGAAAGCTGGAGGCGAACTAGATAGACATTTCAGAGTTTTCAGTCTCTGAGAACTTGACTATCTCTGAACCAAGAACGAGCGTACATAGCAGTGCATGTTTTGGCAGGCAGGCTTGCAGAAACTGCAGGAATGCGTATCTAGAAATCATCTGTGTGCTCACTGTTATTTTAACGTTGTGGCTCATCTCTGCAGCGTCTTTCAAAACCCTTAACATTGTGCAAGGACCATAATGTGACTGGATTTCATAGAAACACTGAAAAAATATTGATTCTACTCGAGAATATTACTTTTTTGTATTGTACAGCTGCTTACATATCCATTGCTGGCTGTTCACCTGCTAGGCTAAGTGTGAGTGCTATCTGAAATTATGTATGTCTTGTGCTGAGAAAAAAAGCATTAACTCAGATGTACAGAAGATGATTTGCTGCCAAGATTAACCCTGAAGGAAACCTTGTATCAGAATGCGCAGCAGAGTTGTGCCATCGCAAACCTGAGTGCACTGTGCCTTGCGTCGTCACCCCCCCAGCCCTGTTGTTTTCCTGAGACACCTCCCTTCTCTTGCCCCTGAGCCAGTGCCTCATTTGACGCAAGCTGGGATTTGCCAGATTTGCTGTCGATACCCTATGAGTCACAACTAATTGTCGCATGTTGCTAGTCAAGCTTTAATGCATGGAGATTCGTCCTCATTATCGGGGATGTCAGTGGTGTGGAAAGAGCTGGACTGTGAGAATAATAGGAAGGGTGTAAATGCAGGAACAGATTAACATGTGGATAATTACTATACTTAGGATATTACTGAAATAGTCTTACATAACTGGCACGCTGTGAGCTGCTGCCAGAAGAAAAACAAACCAGGGCCCAGATCAGAAAGGGCCTCTTGAGGCTTATCTATAGCAGTTCTTTTTCTGAGTCAGAGGGAATTAATAAGTTATAAATTAACTGGATTATTGGGCCAGTGGCTGGGTTGCCAACTCTCACGCGTCTGGCGTGATACTCAGGCTTTCAAACTCTAACAATCATGCAAGAAATCTTACGGCAAATCTATATTATCCCATTCTAAACCTAAAATCAGCTACATCAAAAGCGTTGGAGAAGTTTACAAACCCTACAGACTATTTACAAGGTAATAAAACTGTTACATATGTGTAAATGCGTGTGCATGTGTGTGCAGACTTGTCTTGAATTGAAAATATCACTCCAGCTAGCTAATGGAAGTTGCCAATCCTGCAGTTGTGTGATGTTGAAGAAAAAAATGAGTACACACTGACAGATAGGATGAACTTTCACATGGAGACTCTTTGCTTGCAGACTTCTTGCTTCTATTTTGACGTGCTGCATATTCTAAGCCTCTTCAGGGTTAGAGGGGTCAATTACAGACCCCCGGCAGTATACTTGAAGAGTTTTTATCTTCTCCCCCTGTACACACTTCCTCCATGTACTCTAGTTTCCTCTTCCAGTCCAAAAACACAAACCTTGGTCAGTTGGTCTAGGTAAGTGTACATCCTGAAAATATTCATT